TAACAAAAATATTTATGGCTGTATATTTTCTCTGAATATACATTTACCCTGGGTCCTAGAAATTTGAGCATGTAGTCTGTAGTTTTCCAGCTAATGTCAGTCACTTTTTTATTTAAAGTTTACCTAATCAGTATTTCTTAAATTCAACAGGTTTTTTTAGTGGACTTTTGATTATATATTCCTGATTTTGATAGTTTAATAGGTCTTAATGAATGTTAAAATATTCATATTCTTTACGTTCATTAGAATATAATTTTTGTAAATGTTTCACAAAAATATACTATCTACAGAAGGAATTAGTTTTTCCATTCATATGTCGAATGACTGAATCTCCTACTCCGTGCTAGGGAGTGAATCCATGGTCTCCCACACACTAGGCAAGCGTTCTGCCACTGAACTACACTTCCAGCTACGTTTATTTTATAAAGCTACAATCCGTTCTCCCCAACTTCAAGTAGTACTGCCCTCTCTGACTTCGCTGCCACTGTGGTCGGAGCACTGGTCCACTGATCGCTTAGATCCGCGGGGCGGGTAACTCGCAGAATCTTTGTCAGTAGCGGAACCACCGAGTCGCCCTGGCCTCCCGCTGTCTAGTCCAGCTACGCCTAGGGGGGGTGGGGCGGAGACGCGGGCCGGAAGTTGGGGCGGGACTTCCTGGGTCTGCTGCTCTGGGTCCAGAAGGGTACTGTGGCGTGGCTACTCAGCTGGCGCGACTCTGCAGGAGGTGAGTTCTCCAGGCAAATCGGACCGCGCATCCTCTGTCCCCGATGCTCAGGGATGGGGTCGGCCTGGAGCAACGTAGGGGAATGTAGGAGCGCCGGCGCGGGGCGGCGCCTCTCCGGGCCGCCTGGGTGTCCTGTCGTAGGGGTGTCAGTGAGGGCACGCACGGCCCGGGCTCTGCCCGCGAGGTGCTGCGCGGGCTTCATGTGATATCAGAGACGTCCTAGCCCGAGGACAGCGCTGTAGCTGACTCCCCTTTGGATGGGGGGGGGGGCTCGCTGAGGAGGAGTAAGTAATCATTTGGGCTCCTCGAGGGAGTAGGGCCTGAGGAATCGGCCAGCACTTATCCTGAGGTTCCGTCTGTGGGAGGGTCGCTACTAGGTCTTCAGTACCAGGGTCAGCCTTTGGCCAGGGGATTATGCTTCTAGGCTTATTCAGACTGTTGGCTGAATTCGTTGCCTTGTAATAGTTACACAAAGGTTTGCGTTTCCTTGCTGCCTGCCAGTCAGAATGGCCCGTTGCTCTTGGAGGTTCTTTCACGTGGTCCATATATGTGGGAATTAACATTGACTCGTCAGATGTTTCTCAGGTCTTTAACGGCTCATATGCTAGTTTGGGTCAGGGTAATCTGTGACAGTAACTTGAATTCCTTCTGCAAAGTCTCTTATGTTGTCTGGTGGTGTAGCACATTCACAGATTCCAGGGATTAGGACACCCATGTGGGGGGATGAGCTTTCTGGGCAAGGTGCTGTTATGCCAGGCAAGCAAGAAAATCACCAAACACTGGGACAAAGACCAAGTTAAAACTGAAAGGAGTTTATTCACGCGCGTGGACTCCACCCTCTAAAAGGAGTGAAGCCCAGAAGTAGGGGACAGCACAGCTTTTAGTATATGTGCTGCCAAAGCAAGCATGACAGCACAGCTTTTATAGGTAACTCAAACAAAGAAGTTCAGGGAGAGGTCAACATGTTCTTCAACCAGCTGGAAAATATCTTTCACAACCCAGCTTTTTCCAACCCTCCTATCTTGTCAAGATAGGACATTCTGTGGCTACAGGGTTCAGCAGTTACAGGGAGGCACCAGGCCCCATCTGTTCCTGGGGAGCGATAAAGCATGTTTACAGAAGCAGAGTGAGCGGTTAGAAAAATGGTTATCTTGTGGGGAATTCCAGCACTCTGTAAGGGGAGGGGTATGAGGGGAGTTCACTCACAGGCCAAGATGGCGTTTCTTAGGTTCACTTTGGTCTCACAGTGCTACAGAGAATAAGGCGAGGAAAACAAGATGTAAAGCAAGTGCACAGTTTTGCACAATTTATAATTTAAAAAAGAAAAAAATGGTATATGTACATTTGCTTTTGTAACCTGGTAGGATAACCAGAAACAGAAGAGGAACCAAGGGCCTGGTTGGGAGATTTAGCCTCACCCTGCCCAGTAACCACCAGAGAGCAGGGCCTGACATGTTCCAGCCTCCCCCAACGTGCTCTTCCAACAGATACCTCTGCCCCTCAAGAGTAAAGACAAAGCAAGAAATGTTGGAAGAAACCCACAGTGAAAAGTGTCTGTCAACCCACAGACCAAATTTCTTCTTTTAGGTACACATTTTCCAGTGTTTCCTATAAGCTGGTATCTATCTTGGGTAGACTATGGAACACAGCAGCAATCGTTGGCTCTCCTGGAGCTCACTGGGGTAACAGATCATAGCAAACGCATCAGTGAGTTGGGGCAATTGTGTTTGACAGAGGCAGCAGGGGCATTTTAACTAGGGTAGTCAGGGTAGGCCTCACTGAGAAACCTAATGGCGAAGGAAGAGCTGAGAAACCTTTTAAGCCCCCACCCCTTCAGAACCCAGGATCTTGTGCATGCTAGGCAAGCTGTTTACCACTGAACCACACACCTCACCCCTTACCTTCTAAATTTTGAACTATTTGAGTCTGCCCCTGTTCAGTAATAATGATGAGAATTAGAAATCTTTTTAAATAAAACATTCTGAATAAAAATATGGAAATGATTGAGTCTCCCCATGGAAAGAGAGAATAAAGATTCTCCTATGGAAACTTGGCAGCCTCTCCTCACAGACACACACAAACACACACACACACACACACACACACACACACACACACACTGTCTCTTGATCTATTTCTGGTGGACATGAATGAGCTTAGTGTTTTCCCTGCTTTCAGTCTCATCTGACACCATACTTCTGAGCACCCTGCCAGGTTAATCTTTTGAGATGTTTTGTTTTGTCTCTCTGATGTAAAAGTGCAGCCAAGGTCTCTTACAATCTGTCCTCAGTGCCCATCCCTCTGAGCTCTGTCTTTGCCGTCTCCTACAAGCTTTGACCCTACACTTATTCTCTGACCTTCTCATTCAGAGTACTAATTGTGGGTTCTTCCATGATCTCACTCTAGCAGCCCTGCCTAGCCCCTCTTCCTTGTCTAAGGAGCCCATAGGTGATGCCTTACCATTACTCCTGCCACCTTTCTACAGTGAAATCACTCCTCAACCCCTTTCCAGATCACCTTGACTGCACTTCACTGAGCAGGTGGAACTGGCCACTGCCTTCTGATATTCCCCTCAACTTCATCTAAACCTGAAGTGGAACAGACATCCCTCCCCCAGGCCAGAGTGTGCTGGCCAAAAACACTACATCTGGACAGAGTTTGTGCTCTTTCACGGGATAGTGGGAGGCTGTTCTCTGTTATCCTCTTAAATACGTGGAGGCTTCAGAAGTCTATTCTGTAGACCAACATTTCACAGAGTACAGGCAGCACTCCCACTGCAAGATTTGTGGGACCCAATACAGTGCCTTTCAGGTTGTACCCTGCTCTTTCATTTTTCTGTCCACATTGGCTGCCCCATGGCTCCTGAGGCCTGGCCTACTTGCTCCTTCTCTCCTCAGCCTTTACACTCTGTTTCTGCCTTGGACTTCCTTTCCCTAGTACCTGCATGACTCTTTGCTTCCTTGACCATTAGGTTTCTCAGTGAGGCCTACACTGACTACCCTAGTTAAAATGCCCCTGCTGCCTCTGTCAAACACAATTGCCCCAACTCACTGATGCGTTTGCTATGATCTGTTACCCCAGTGAGCTCCAGGAGAGCCAACGATTGCTGCTGTGTCCCATAGTCTACCCAGGATAGATACCAGCTTATAGGAAACACTGGAAAAATGTGTATCTAAGAGAAGAAATTTGGTCTGTGGGTTGACAGACACTTTTCACTGTGGGTTTCTTCCAACATTTCTTGCTTTACCTTTACTCTTGAGGGGCAGAGGTATCTGTTGGAAGAGCACATTGGGGGAGACTGGAACATGTCAGGCCCTGCTCTCTGGTAGTTACTGCAGGGTGAGGCTAGAAAGGGGGTTGGACAGTCAGTAACTTAGTCAATGTGAAAAGCCCATGTGCCTTCAGGTATTAAGTGTCCCATATTCTACCCAGAGAGTAGGCTAGGACTGGAGATGAGCCAAGTTTGGGACCCTTTACAGGATAAGGGATGTTAATACTTCTGGACTGGACAAAATCACCAAACAAGTTGTTACAGGTACAGAAATGAACCTGTGGCATCAATATGCACAGGGAGATGAGAGAAAGAGTGAGAACAGCTGGTGCAATGGGAGGGCATCCCAGGAGGGTGGAGACAGGACACCTGCTTTGGCTGCTGCCAAGTGCAACTCAGATAGACTTTACTACTACGATTGGCAGCACTGGTGAACAATATTCCGTGTGCCTGTATGTGTCCACAAGGTGGGCTGCCTTTGGCTGCTCAACCTTTGGGGCTATTGTACCTCTTCAGTAGATTGGTCTTGTGCATTCTGCTTCATAGCATTGTGTCAGGAACCAGGATTGAAAGGCAGGTCCACAGCAGGAAGCAGACACTGTGAAGGCTGCTGTCCTCTCATGATGTACTTGAGCCCTTTAGGGAGTTCCTGTGCACTCTGCATTGAGGGTCAGCATCTCACTCTTCCTATCTACAATCCTGACTCATGATTCTGTGTCTCCATGGCTGACTATCCCTCCCCTTGGATCCAGGGTCAGGGAACATAGCATTAGTCCCTGATACTTGACAATACCAGGCCCTCTTCAAGTCTCAGGCTGCAGGAGCAGAAGAAATTTTTTCCTAGGAGAGAATGGAGCTAGCCTTTCTGTACACTGACCTGTGTCCTTGCTGGTCTTCAGGTCCCAGCTATGCCCAGCCTCAGAGTTTGCCCCAAGGAGGCAGAGATGGAACCCTCAGCTCCAGGACCATCCCCTTGGACTCCTGCAGCACAGGCTTGTGTGAGTGATACTCCTGTTGTGATCTGACCTGGATCTCTGATCTGTGGGCCCCTCGTCTATGGCACTATTGAGCTGGAAACCATCCACCCTCACTTTTAGCAGCCAGGTACTGAGAACAGGTTCCCCACTGGTGCCCTCATTCTGAGGAGATACATACATCACCTTGTGCTCATCCTAGGAAGCATCTTCTGTGTCATGCCTCATGGACTCAAGGGACTAAGGCTGGGTCTCAGAAAGGAAGTTGATGTGGCCTGGCCTCTGGTGCCCTGAATAGGGTATTTGTTAACCCTTTGACACAGAGATGTGCTGTGATGACTACCTAGGTCCTGTGCTTTGGCCTCTGACCCCTGCCAAGCCCAACAACCAGGCTGATAGGTTCTGTCCTGTGCCCCATTTGCTCTTAGCCCCTCTGAACCTCTTCAGAGAGTCCACGAAGACTCCACCAGCTCACCCATATGGATCCTTCAGCAATGAATAGGATGGCTATTCAGTGTCTGACCCCTGCTTGGGTCAGACAGCTGCTGTTGTACAAGGGGACATTTTGCTCAGACCATGTGTGAGCAGGAATGGTTAGGCCAAGGGTAGAGATGGTGCAAGGCAGACTTAATGTATGCCGAACAAAGCAAATTCTGAACAGTGTAAGGGGGAAGCAGGTAGAGGATGACAGACACGACAAGGTCCCCAGAAATGGCCCTGCAAAATAGGCTTGCTGACCAGCCTAAGCAGAGAGAAAATATTAAACAAGTGTCCAAGGGCCCCTGCTAGGAATGTTGAAGGTATCTAGGATTCTGTTAGAGATGAAAACAAGCTGATGAGTACTCATGTTTTAAAAGCAACTGTGGAGAGGGGAAAATAATTGAAATATGTTATGTCCATGTACCAATTCCCTACCATGAATGTAATCATTAAGTATTGTAAACATGTACTTATAAAAGTAAAAAAAATTAGTTTGTAACAGAAAAAAAAAAAAAGCAACTGTGGAGCAAATTGGCAGAGCAGGCAACTCCAAACACCTGTTCTTCCATGTAACTATCAAAGCAAGTAAACCACCAAGTGGAACTTGTCAGAACCAACTTTTCCAGAAATCTGGAAAATTGTTCATGTTCTATGGCAACCAAACAAATATTAAATCAAGAAGGGAATTTTAAAATACGAAAGCTTATTTGCCTGTGCCTCAACTCCTTTCTGGCTCATTAGCACTTTTGGGGGGGCGGGAGGGGGCCGGGGCACCAGGGATTGAACTCAGGACCTTGGGCTTGCGAGGCAGGTGGCAGCACCACTGAGCTAAATCCCCAGCCCCTCATTGGCACACTTAAAGCAATCAGCCTGCATTCCCAGTGTGGGACATGGTCTCTGGTTGCAGAATAAGCAGAGGAGATCTTACTCTATCTGTTGTAAACTAAGTGGGGCTACTTGAAGAACTGATACACACTACACATCTCTGATCTGCTGGACTCAGAACTGAGACCCCCACCGTGACCTGGAGCATCACTTATACATATAGCCAGCCACCCACAGCCTAGAAAGAAAAGCATGAGAGAGACATGGGGGGAAATGAGGGCCTTCATTAGCACAATTGAGGAATTTAGAAAGTCACACTTATACCTAGGATAAGGTGTCAGCTTGGAAAAGACCTATGAAGATAGTAATCTTTCACCTCTAGCTGGTATCTGGGCGTGGTGAAAGCTAGGAACTGAGGAGATGTTGTAAACAATATTAAAGGAAGGCTCTAGAATGGAGCTTGTCAACAGATTGGGAAAGGTGTTTTGTTTTCCTTTTGTTCTTGACGTTCAAGGAAATCTCTGCCAAAACACTAGATAAAAGAAAGGATATAGCCAGTGGTAGAGTGCTTAGGTAGAATATGCAAGGCCCTAGATTCAGTCCCCAGCACTACACACACACTTGTGTGTGCACCATGACAAGCAAATGAACAAAAAAAAAATAGCTGAAAACAAGCTAAAGAAACAGCCCCCGCTATATGTAATTTGTAGGGACAGTGTACCCAACAAAGAACAGCCTTTGCAAAAATAATATGGAAAACATAGTACATGAATAGATGACTGTGGCCTTCAACAATCTAAAAGAGCAAATATATTTACTGAGTCACCACATTATAATATTCAAACATCCAGTTCTTAACAAAATCACAAAACATAGAAAGAAGCAGCAACATATGACCCATTCAAAAGAAAAAGTAAATTGGTAAAAAGAGTCCCTGAAAAACAGACATTGGACTTACTAGACAAAGAGTTTAAATCACCTGACTTAAATACACTAAGAAAGCTAAAATGAAACTCTGAATAACTAAAGGAATCAGAAAAATAAAATGTATGAACAAATTCAGACTATCAGTAAAGAGACACAGATTATAAAAATGAACCAACTAGAAATTCTAGAGTGGAAAAGTACACTAAAATATTTCAGTAGAAGGTTTCAACAGCAGATTTGAGCAGGAAGAAGAAAGAATCAGCAAACTTCATGTTAGGATGATTGGAATTGTTTAGTGTAAGGAGCAAAAAGAAAAAAGTTCCACGAAAAGTGAACAATTTTAATGGACCTGTGGGACACCATGAAGCAGATGAATATACATAGTATGGGGGGGTCGGCAAGAGAGACATGAGAGAGTTGAGTAGTAAGACTATTTGAAGACTTAATGGCTGAAAACCCCCAAATTTGATGAAAGACATGAATCTATATCCAAGAAGCTCAGCAAACTTGAGTAGGATAAATTGAAGAAACCTACACCAAGTTTCATTATAATTCATCTTTTTTTTTTCAGTTTTAACCATTCATCTTTATTGATAAAATAGGCTCCTATGCCAAAACATACTTTCATACATAAATTTAAAGTCGTGTAAAAAAAAAAAATGGGGTGGAAAACTGTCCTGAAAACAAAGTGACTGTCTTTCAACACCCAAGACCTTAAAATTTATCCAAGCAACAAGGCTAATAATAAATTAACTTGTTTACAAAAATAACCATTTATCAAATAATGTTTTATAATAGAGCTGCCACAATGAATTGCCTCAGTCTTAATCTCAACTGCATAGCTCATTTTCTTTTCTTGGAATAAAAACTATTTGAATGAATATGCCATTGAATGAAGGGATACTTTCCTAAAAACCTATAGAAAAGTTTAAAAATAAAAAAATTCCATTTATTTATAAAATACTAATTAAGGCCTCTGAATGAGAAAAGAAATCTATTTAATGTTTGGGCCATTAGCCCTTTTCTAATCAGCCCATCCACCCCAAACTTAAGATAGAAAATCTCTGAAGTGAAAAGTAGTTTTGAATTTTACCAATATATGAAATACTCAAAAATTATCACAAGAAGTAGTATTTCCTTAACAAATTATATACTCAAAAGTAGAATTTTCTATTTGTGCTAATTTTAATATGTATTTAATATAAATGAGTATAATATAATCATATTTGATACTCTTTTATCCTTTTACTCTATACTCACTACAAAATAAGAAAACTTTAGGTCTTAATTGGTGTTAAAGCACATTTCTCTATCTGGTAGCTTTTAAAAATTCAACACTGTATATTTGATTTTTTAAAAAAAACAAAACAAATATATGTAAATCCATAATTTCCACCTTCCTTTCCAAATGAAAGGTCAGAAGAAAAATCTTACTGAGTATGAGGACCAGATGGAGCTTAAAAATACATCCAGATTTTTTTTCCAAAATTTGACAGTACTTTTTTCTTAAAATTTTTTTTTTGGGGGGTACCAGGGATCAAACTCAGGAACTTGCACTTGCGAGGCAGGCGGCGGCACCACTGAGCTAAATCCCCGGCTTGACTCTACTTTTTTGTATTTTGAGATTAATTACTAAAAAAAGGGGGGCGGGGTTCTATGAGCCAGAGGAATTCTGAATTTAGCTTGAAAGTCATCATACCTATCTTGCTATATCAAACATTTCAACTCTGTTAGCTAAATGAACCATATAATACCCTTAAATAGGTATCAACCAGAG